AGCTGAGAAAAGAAAAGAAGCGAAAGACAAAGGAAAAAGGGAAAGATATACCCATCTGAATGCAGAGTTCCAGAGAATGGCAAGGGGAGATAAGAAAGCCTTCTTAAAGGAACAGTAGAAATAAACAGAGGAAAACAATAGAATGGGAAAGATAAGAGATCTGCTCAAGAAAATTGGAGATACCAAGGCAATATTTCCTGCAAAGATGGGCACAATAAGGCCAGAAACAGCAAGGACATAACAGAAGCAGAAAAGATTAAGAAAATGTGGCAAGAATACACAAAGTATACAAATAAGGTCTTAATGACCCAGATAACCACAATGATATGGTCACTCACCTAGAGCCAGGAATCCTTGAGTGTGAAGTCAAGTGGCCCTTAGGAAGCCTCACTATGAGCAAAGCTAGTGGAGGTGATAGAATTCCAGCTGAGCTATTTCACATCCTAAAAGATGATGCTGTTAAAGTGGTGCACTCAATATGCCAGCAAATTTGGAAAACTCAGCAGTGGCTACAGGACTGAAAAAGGTCAGTTTTCATTTCTATCCCAAAGAAAGGCAATGCCAAAGATTTTTCAAACTACCTTACAGTTGCACTCACTTCACATGCTAGCAAGGGGATGCTCAAAATCTTTCTAGCTAGACTTCAACAGTACATGAACAGAGAACTTCACAAGCTGGATTTAGAAAAGGAAGAGGAAACAGAAATCAAATTGCCAGCATCTGTTGGATTATCAAAAAAGCAAGAGAATTCCAGAAGAACATCAGCTTCTGCTTCATTGACTATGCTAAAGCCTTTGACTGTGTGGATCACAACAAACTGTGCAAAATTCTTAAAGAGATGGAAATACCAGAGAATGAATGTTACCTGTCTCTTAAGAAACATTTTTGCAGAATAGCATTGAAACATGTATATTATCAATTATGAAACAGATCGCCAGTCCAGGTTTGATGCATGAGACAAGTGCTCAGGGCTGGTGCACTAGGATGACCCAGAGGGATGGGGTGGGGAGGGAGGTGGGAGGGGGTTCAGGATGGGGGACACATGTAAATCCATGGCTGATTCATATCAATGTATGGCAAAAACCACTACACTTTTGTAAAGTAATTAGCCTCCAAGTAATATAAATAAATGAAAAAAAAAAAAGAAACCTGTTTGCAAATAAGGGAGGAGCCAAGATATACAGGAGTTCTGCAACAAAAGCCAGGGAGTCAGAACATCAAAAGATTACTGTTAATTAAAGAAAACCAGACATCTCCAGTTAAGGAACTTAGCACTTTTCTGTGTAGGGGAAGATGCAAAAGTCTGGGCTCATTGAAATCATTCCTTTGATATACACCTCAGGTATATGCAGCCAGTTTCCTGTTTTTCTCCATCCTGATCCCCTCAGGGTGCACAATTAGGGGTGATTGTAGTGGCTGCTGGTGTAAAGGCCACAACATCCTTTGGTTAGTGATATGGCAGGTGGCATTTTTCCTCCACATTATAAACATCTGCTGTGACAATGCCTAAGAGAAAGCATTGCATATTGGGAATAGTAAAGTGGAGGGTCAGAACTATACAGGCCTACTTTCAAATCCTAGCATCATCATTTATTGTAGAGGTTTGAACCAAATCTTTGATTCAGTTTTGTAGTTTCAAGTTTTTTTCTCTCCCTAATATGGTAGTAATGATACCTTCTTCAGGCCATTATTGTATGAGGATTAAATAAAAGATAAATAATACCTATAAAAGGAACTTACACAGCTTCTGGAATCTGACATTTGTTTATTCACATTACCTTGCTCTCCGTAAAACAACAAAACACACACACACAAATAATAATAACCTTAAATAGCTAGAACTACTGAAGCAAGTGAAAGTGTTAGTTGCTCAGTCATGTCCGACTCTTTTCGATCCCATGGACTGAAGCCCAACAGGCTTCTTTGTCCATGGAATTCTCCAGGCAAAAATACTGGAGTGGATTTTCATTCAAGGGCATTATTCTACTTCTCAAACCAAATAAGACAGGAACTGAAAGAATCAACTGCCAAAACAGCAGTAAGACATTTGAACTTCAGGCTCTTTTAGATTGTAAAGAGATTCTAGTTAGCCTAATTAATATAGAAAGTGAAAGTGACGTCGCTCAGTCATGTCCGACTCTTTGCGACCCCTGGACTGTAGCCTACCATGCTCCTCCGTCCTTGGAATTTTCCAGGCAAGAGTACTGGAGTGGATTGCCATTTCCTTCTCCAGAGGATCTTCCTGAACCAGGGATTGAACCTGGGTCTCCCACATTGTAGGCAGACACTTTACCATCTGAGCTACTAGGGAAGATAAAGGGACCTTAATTGGCCTAAGGGAAACTTTGTGAGAACACATAGATTTGTGCTGAATATCTCTCAGAGAATGGAACCTGGGGGCATATTCAGACAGTTGCCAGTATTACAATTGATTCTTAGAGAAACTTTAATATAACCACAGCAGTGAAAAAAAACTGGACCATTAGCATGGTCCAGCATCATTGTTGTTGTTATATATTTGCATATTCTCTTTTATTGAAATAAGGCAGGAGGAGTTTTTAACTAGTACACATGTCAATTTTGTATTAGTCATTTTTGAGTTCTTATGTTTAAGTATTATTTATAATTTGTAAATGTTTCTAAAGCAGCAGTATCCTGGCAGTGATTTGAATTTTCTCATGAAATGATTATCCTTTGTATTCAGTCCTCCAAGAGCCCCAGCTGTACTGTTTCAGGGAATACTCTTGTACAGTAATCTCCTGGAGGCTACATTGCAAGAGAGGTGTGTGGAAGAGTATTTCTGTGCTCTACTTGAGAATTGCCACACATGTCCAATGTTATTAATATGTAAAATGAAGTAATTGTTACAAATAGGACTCTTCAGTTACAAATATGCTTGATATGGCCCAATTCTCAGTTTCTCCTTTGCAATAACAGGGTTAATGTTTTGGGGGGGGGGATTTTTTTTTTAAAGAAAACTGCAGAAGTTGCTGCTACATCAAAAATCAACTTGGTTACTATTAAAATTATATTTAACAGTTGCCATATACAAGCTTCTATTTTCCATTGGCTATACACAGATGTGAATCTAAAGGAGGAAGTGCGTGCCTTTCATCTTCTTTTGATAATTTTATGTTGATTACAAATTATATAGATGGAAGGAGTGTAAAATAAAGTGTAATGAAGGCCAAGAAAAGCAGGGGATAGCATAGTTCAATGGCTGAGAAAACCAATATTTCAATCAGAAAGATGTGTTCAGAGTTCCTCAACTTATTATTAGCCATATGATCTTTGGCAAGTTAACTTCTCTAATTTTGTTTCCTGGCCTCAAAAGGACACTTAGTACTCCTGTTTCACTGGGTTATTATTAAAATTAAATATGAAAATATATAAATGTTGTTACAGTATCTTGAATATAATAATCACTAAAGTACTTGATCAATTTTGTTATTACCTTTCTTTATAAATAATAAGCAGTCAAGTATTGTTACTTAGTTATTGTGGTTGTTGTTATTACCATAATTATTAAGAAAATAAGAACAATTGATTTGTGGTGTTTGCTACTCCTTCTGGCTAACTTCAACTCAGTTTCCCACTGGCCCACTCTTTCCCTAAGAATAAGTAGTGTGGTTATAGATTGGGGAAATTTGAGGAATTTTTTTCCTTGTTGTGCTAAAAGATAGAGCTTTAGGCTGAACTGAACAGGGTAAAGGAATCAGTTGCCAACTCCCTCTTGGAACAATAGCCTCTCCCAAGGATGGGTAGGACTTCCCTGGTGGCTCAGATGGTAAAGCTTCTGCCTACAATGTGGGAGACCAGGGTTAAAATCAATACCTGAGTTAGGAAGATCTCCTGGAAAAGGAAATGGCAACCCACTCTAGAATTCTTGCCTAGAAAATCCCATGGACGGAGGAACCTGGTAGGTTGCAGTCCATGGAGTCGCAAAGAGTCCGACACGACTGAGCGCCTTCACTTTTCTCTTTCAAGGATGGGTAAGTGAGTGATACTGACATTGGCTGGGCTTCCTAGGTGGCTCTAGTGGTTAAGAGCCCGCTTGACAGTGCAGGAGTTGTAAGAGATAGGGGTTCAATCCCTGGGTTGGAAAGATTCTCTGGACAAGGGTATGGCAACCCACTCCAGTATTCTTGCCTGGAGAATCCCATGGACAGAGAGCCTTGTGGGCTACATTCCATAGGGTCGCAAGAGTCCAACACAACTGAGCAACTGAGCACTGTACCACCTATGAGGAGAGGGGGCATACCGTCTTTGAGGGGGGGCATAGAGGGTGTACCACCTTGGAGGAGAGGGGGCATACCACCTATGAGGGGAGGGGGCATATCACCTATGAAGGGAGGGGGTGTACCATCTGTGAGGAGAGAGGGAGTACCACTGGGAGGGGGCATACCACCTATGGCAGAGGGACGTGTGTTTTCTTGACAGAGTGTTAAGTGTTGACTTGGTTGGGATGTAAGTGATTAAGCTTTCTTTTGTCTAAGGTCCTAAGTCTCCATTCCCACACACATGATGAGTGAAAATGTTAATGGAGGACAGAACCTTTTATGGAAAAAACTGCTCTTTGCTCGCCTTCCTAAGCCTCCATAAGCTTGGCGGCATTAACAAGCAGAGAATGTTCCTTCGGAGTAGAATCCTGGAGGAGTCATAATTATCAAGGCTATCATAGATAGCCACAAGCAGGCTCAGAGGCTCACTTCTTCATTTCGTGTTAAGAAAGCGTTATGGGGGGGGGGGCAGAGTGGAAGGAGGGGAGCAAGGGATGGTAGTGAGTAGTGGAACTGCAGGGAAACCTTACTGATTTGAGGTGCCACCGGAATCCCTGTGGCCTCAACTTATCTGCCATTTTTTCTTGCAATTTTTCCGACCAGCTACCTCAGCGGCTACCGTCGTTGCCATCACAACTCCAGCTGCCATTAACCGTGAACTCTCGCGAGACACGATCACGGGCCAAGACAAGGGCCAGGGTGAAGAGAGGGAAGGTTGCCATGGTGGACGAGCAGAGCCTAGCGAAAGTTTTTTGCCTGAATGACAACCAACAATGGGATATTCTAGGCAAGGGACATGTCTCCACTATTTATGTGGAACGTCTTCAGGGCATGTGTCTGCTAGTTCGATCTGAACCTAACGGCTTACAGATCTTGGAGTCAAAGATAAAGCCAGACACGCCCTATGAGAGACGAGAAGAGACATTAATTGTTTGGTCTGAAGCTGAGAACCACGGTATGGCGATAAGCTTCCCAGATGCAGCAAGTTGTCATGAGATATGGAAAGACATCTGCCAGGTTCAAGGTAAAGACCCATCTGCCAATACCACACATGACGCCTTAGTTGAATCCGAAGATGAGACATCGGATGAGGTGGCAGAGACTGATGAAATGCTTGAGCTGCCTGACTGTGAACTGGGTAATCTTGGCCAAATTGCTCACTTAATTGGCTCAGCTCTCACCTCATCTCTGCATAAGGAAAGGCTGGTTCTGTTATTGGGAAATGAGGACTTTATTAAAAAATTACTGCAGTTGTTCCACACTTGTGAGGACCTAGAGGATACTGAAAGCTTACACTATCTGCATGACATTGTTAAAGGGATGTTATTTCTCAACAAGGTATCTCTGCTTGAGATCCTCTTTTCTGATAAGTATATCATGGATGTGGTGGGATGCCTTGAATATGACCCTACCTTGGCTCAACCAAAAAGGCATAGAGAATTCTTAACCCAAGAAGTGAAGTTCAAAGAAGTTATACCAATTATAGACCATAAACTTCTGCAAAAAATACATCAGACATACAGGGTACAGTACATTCACGACATCCTTTCTCCTGTCCCATCTATATTTGAAGAGAATTTTCTTTCTGCTTTTACAACTTTTATTTTATTAAACAAGGGTGCGATAGTCAGTATGCTGCAGGAAGATGATAAGTTTTTGTCCACCGTTTTTGCACAGTTAAGGGATAAGACTACAGATGATGATACACGGCGTGAACTGTTATTTTTTTTCAAGGAATTCTGTGCATTTTCTCAGACATTACATTCTGAAAACAGGGATGCACTATTCAAAACACTGACAGAAGTGGGAATTCTTCCTGCTCTTAAAGTGTTAATGAGTATGAATGACTTGCAAATAAGGTCAGCTGCTACTGATATATTTACTTATCTGGTAGAGTATAGTCCATCCATGATTCGAGAATTTATAATAAAAGACCAACATAGTGAAGACAGCATCCTTTTCATTAATTTAGTAATTCAACAAATACTCTGTGATACTGACCCTGAGCTAGGAAGTGCTTTTCATTTAATGGGAATTCTTCGTTACCTGCTTGATCCAAATAACATGACAACAACATCTAGTCACTGTGAAAAAAGTGAATTTCTACACTTCTTCTTTAAGCATTGTATGCATAATTTCTTAGCACCACTTTTGTCAACTACTTCAGGATATATACGTGACAAGGATAATATAGTTGGATCTGACGAAAACAACGAAAACTGTCTCAATAATTACCACACAGCACAGCTGCTTGCCTTAATTTTAGATCTGTTTTCATTTTGTGTGCAACATCATGCATATTACATGAAAAAATATATTTTGGACAAAGACTTGCTAAGAGAAGTCTTGATCTTGTTAAATTCAAAGCACACTTTTCTAAACTTGTGTGCTCTTCGTTTTATGAGAAGGATGATTGGCCTTACAGATGAACTTTTAAATCGTTATATCATAGAGGGAAATTTTTTTGAGCCGGTTGTAAATGCTCTTCTAAAGAATGGAACTCGGTACAATATGCTGAATTCAGCTATTGTTGAACTGTTTGACTACATAAGAATGGAAGACATCAAATCTCTTGTTGCCCATATAGTTGAAAAGTTTTATGCAACACTTAAGTCAATTGAATATGTTCAGACATTCAAAGGATTGAAGGTGAAATATGAGCAAGAGAAAGAGCGGCAAAATCAAGGAGGGAAGAATTTGTGTCCTGTATTGTATAGTAAAGTATTTTGCAGAGGTTCCAGTGTCATAGAGGAGGAGGAGGAGGAGGAGGAGGAGGAGGAGGAAATGAGTATTAATGAAAATATAAAAGAAGAAGCAGTTAAGCCACCACCAGAAAGTGATTTTGAAGATCATTTTGAGACTGAAAAAACAAAAGAAAATGAAGACAAGGTAGATACTCCCTCCCAAACATCTTGTGGTGACTTCAAATTTACTTCATCCCATTCTGCTGATGCTGCTGATGGAGCAAGTAACCCAAACCGCAGAAGTGTGATTTCCTTAGTGGATTATTCAGATGATGAAGAAGAAGAGGAAGATGAAACACCTCCCAGCAAAAAACCACATCTTAGCCCATAAAGTCTTTATGGAAAACCCATTGCATTACTAAATTCTGGTAAAACTTTGTAACATTTGCTGAAGAGTCTGAATCCAAAGCTTCCGTATATGCACACATGTATTTAATAAATAGCAAAGATGTTCATTGTTACTATCATCTAGGAGAATTTAGTTCTGTAAAAAATCAGATTTCAGGGTTGATAATCTAATATTAATGTATTTCTGTTTCAAGAGTATATACGAGACATAGCTATTAACAGTGCAGTTGCAAAGCTTGTAACATCATTTGCCCAGTGGTTCTGGCTATGGTTTTCCTTTTTCAGTTCCTTCTTTGAAATAAAAATGTATGTTTATGTGGAAAATAGAGTCAACTGTAATAAAAAGTAAAGCTATTCACTTTTCTGTGAAATCTGAAGATTTGACAAAAAATCAATCTTATGAATAATTAGAGGGAAGTGACTTTTGGTGTGTATTTTCATGAAAATAAAGGAAGCTGGATTCAGAATGTTCAGTTGTTGCTATAATTTTTTATCTGGTTAGATGGGCTGCAAAGAATGGGTCTAGTAGTAGTGTAAAAGACCTTGGGAGTGGTTAGAAAAAGCAAATGCTTTCAGCTGCCTAAATTGTGAAAGATACTTGGAAGTCATTTCCTGATTCATGAATAAACTTGTGTCTGTCTCCAGAGCAGTAAGTAACTTTTTTTTAAAAAAAGTATTTATTTATTTGTTGACTGCTCTGGGTCTTTGTCACTGCACTTGCTTTCTCTTGTTGAAGTGAGCAGAGGCTGCTGTGCGCAGGCTTCTCACTGTGGTGGCCTCTTGTTAGAGAGCAAGAGCTCTGGGGCCTGCAGGCTCTGTAGTTGTGGCTCACGGGCTTAGCTGCTCTGAGGTATGTGGAATCTTCCCGGACGAGGGATCAAACTGGTGTCCCATGCATTGCAAGGCAGACTCCCATCTCCTGGACCACCAGGATCAAACCGGTGTCCTGTGCATTGCAAGGCGGACTCCCAACCACTGGTAACTTTTAAAGTGTAACTTACAAAGAGTAACGTACCAAAAAATAGTGCTGAATGATGTGGCACTTAATATCTACAAACCATTTTGCACAGTTTTTAAAGAAAAAGTTATGTAAGTGTTAGATTACACACACAATACCTGAAGTTTTTTCTGTAAATGAACGGGTTTAACATGAAAGGTGCTTTATTAAAGAACTGATTGCAAGTGAATTTATAGCAGTAAGATGTAACAGAGTTAAGAGGTGGTTTTTTTTGTTTTGTTTTGTTTTTGTTTTTTGTTTTTTTTAGAGTGGGATGTAAACTGGGTCCAATTTCCCTGGAATTGCTTGAAGTCGTTTCTCCTATTTGAAGATTTTAGAGTTAATTTTTATTATGACCATTGTTTGAACAAGATGATCTGTCTGTGTAGATATGAAGTATAGTTTTCCAGAAGACAGATATTTATCTTATATTAAAAATACCACTGTACTTGTTTTGTACCATTTGCTGATATTTATGCTGATGCTGAAGCTGAAACTCCAGTACTTTGGCCACCTCATGCAAAGAGTTGACTCATTGGAAAAGACCCTGATGCTGGGAGGGATTGGGGGCAGGAGGAGAAGGGGACGACAGAGGATGAGATGGCTGGATGGCATCACGGACTCGATGGGTGTGGGTTTGGGTAGACTCCAGGAGTTGGTGATGGACAGGGAGGCCTGGTATGCTGCGATTCATGGGGTCGCCAAAGAGTTGGACACGACTGAGCGACTGAACTGAACTGAACTGATGCTGAACTATACAATTCAGGAATTAAAAAGTGACCCTTTAATTCCAAAAATAAAAGAGACCATTTTAAAGTGCCAACAGGGGATACATCTTATGCAAAACTGAGAGATTGTTGTTAGTTACAAAGAGAGAGTATTCCTAAAATAACAAATAACGATTTAATCATCAAATATAAAGGCTGCTGAAGTATGGACATGACCTCAGAAGATATAATCTGACATGACTGAGGATGTGACAACGGGGAAACTTCATTTTCACATCTCTCAAGCCAAGCTAGTTAAATGTTGTAATGGGATGATTCAGATTGTGAGTGCATGTCAAAAAAGGAAGTTTGTTTGAAGAGCATTTCATGTTTTCCTTCCCACTAGACTGTCATGGGGAATGTTCTCCATAGTACACACATTTGCATGCATGCACAAACTTTTGTTTGAAAAATATCTTTAACTCTATTTTGGTGGGAGAAGTTCCATTTCCTTAGCAGAACAGATACTCACAACCAGACAGAGAATAACAGTTCTTTGATGCTTTCTCTGCTTATTCTCTTCCCTTCAGCTGGCCATAATGGGAGGTTAATAAAAAGTAAAAATAAAAACAAGGGGAAAAGAAGAAAAGAAAAAAGGATAGGCATTCTCTCAGTGTAACCTCTGTGAGCCCTCTTCTAGTCTCAGCAACTTAATGTTAGGGAAACAACATGACAAGCAAAATGGTGCAAAGGCAAATTGCCCATCAGATGGCAAAACCTACTATTAAGGGAACATTTAAGAGGGCAACAAAACACAGAAGAGCAATCCTTACTGTCTGCACACTGAGTGAAAAATTGACCAAAATGTTCAGTCTCTGTAGATAGTGTGTGTGAGAGGATACCATGTCAAAAATGTTTACTTTCATCTTTAAGTTTTTTAGAAGTAATTTTAATAGGCCCCTTAAGTAGATTGTTTATAAAAAGAAGAAATACATGTAAATCCATGGCTAATTCATTTCAATGTATGACAAAAAACCACTGCAATGATGTAATTAGCCTCCAACTAATAAAAATAAATGGAAAAAAAAAGAAGAAATAGTGTGGAATGGCCTTGTATTTAAAATGAAATTCAGGTGAGCATTTTTGAAGAGGTGCCCTGAATTTGTCAAGGTTTTGACTTTAGATATGTGACTCCCAGTCATTTTTATGGCTTAGTGACTTTCTAAACCCACCAACAAAGTGGGGTGATATAACAGATAAAGCAATAGCTTCATATTTAGACAGTCCTTGATGACAATGCAGACTCTGATTCTTACTAGTTCCAGGACCTTAGGCAATTTACTTGTTTTCTCTTTCAACCACGATCTCTCCAACTTGCCTTAAAAATTAGAAACTATATATAAATTACTCAGAAAATATTTAGTACTCAATAAATAACTTTCAAAACTCATTATCATCATCAGGTGTAGTATAATCATTTCCAAGAAGGGGGAGGATAAAGCCAGGTATAAGTACTTATATCAGAAGTTATGCCCATAAATCAATAATCCTATATGCTGTGATGCATTAAAATCTAATGAGTTCATTTCTGGTTGGCAGACAAGTCTACATATATGTATCGTGCCTTACTGAGACACAACTGAAATAAACGTAAAAGTAGACAGAAAAATAAACCTTCATAGCAATGAAGACACTCTAGTGGAGTGATGTCTGAGGTGTTAACAAAGATGTCAGGAGTGAAGGATGGGATTGAAATTAGAAAAGGAGGGAAGGTGGGAGGGCATTGAAGATTTGTGGCGAGTCACTGACCCTGTTCCCCTTTGTCCCATCCCAGGAAACACTGTGGTAACTAGAATGGGTCCCTAGACAAGAACCCAGATGTCTTTGCCCTAAAGCAGTTGAGATAACAGGCAAAGCTTGGGGCCTTTTATGGATGTGCTTGTCTCTTTGTGGTGTTGGAGGATCCAGCATGCTGAAAGCTTACCACCCAAAGGTGCAGGAGAGAGGCATGTTAGTGCTTGGCTTGGCTCCCACCCAGTAAGTACAATTTCAAGAGCACAAATGGAACCCCTGGAAAGAAACTCTTTACAACTGGCAGACCTGTCAGGTAGTCCCAACACCAGTCAGGGAACACAGGTTGAGAATGCTAGCAGATCAGCCTTAAAGTTCCTAGTTCATGTTATAAAAACAGCCTAGTCCTTGCTCTGGAGTGTTTGCTGAGTGCAGTCAATCCAATTTTCTTGTTTGTCCATGTCACCATCATGGTGGTGTGACCTTAGTCCACCCCTTGGGATGACTGTGATTAGGAGCAGGAAGATGTCCAGAGGGGTATGTGTGATCATGCCCTGCATCTCCTGAAAGGTCTCTCAGGAGGGTTAAGGGGGAGGTGTTCAGAGCTGCCTAGCTGGGGACGGCAGACCCAGCAGTTAGACTAAAAGTGCCTGCTAGAGTTTGAGAGAACTGCACCAGGATGTTTTCTTTGGGGAGGAAGTCTCCAGAGGCACTTCTTAACTACAGGACTTGTCAATGCCCCTCCCTCCCATGTGCAATCCTGGGTGCTGGGTTGTTACTTTTCCTCTACCTGTACAATACCTAAGTGCCCCTTTCTGATGGCTGTAACTTTGCCCTTTTTCCTGCTCATTCCCCTACTTTCACCCAAACTTTTCATCTAGGAAGATCAGGTGTAAGAGGCATGGGACATTTGTATAAAACCAGAATTAAGTTTGAACCATGTAGATCCCATTTTTGCCTGGCTGCCACCATGGCTATACCAGCCAGGCTGGTCTGGGAAAAGAAATGTGTGTCATGCCAGGGAATGGTCAGGACAGAACCCTACAGTTTCAAAAGAGGCCTGTATAATCTCTCATCTCTTTAGTCCTGATTTAATGACCAAATTGCCTTACTCTGAAGTAGGGCTGCTCAGTCTCAACACTGTTGACATTAGGGGCCAGGTCATTCATGGTCGTAGGAGGCTTTCCGGTGCATTGGCGTGATATTTAGCAGCATTCCTGACATCTGCTCACTAGAGACCAGCAGCACACCTTCAGCTATGGCAAGCAAAAACTATGCAGAACAAGCTAAATATTCCTCAAGGGGGCAAAATCACCCTTGACTGTGAACCTCTAGCCCAAATATGTGTGGAACTTGATTCAAGGGCTTCTCTTACTTTGTGGATGTTGAGTCAACATCCACTAGGCTGAGTCACCTTCTCTTTTTCCCTCTCCCTGAAAGAGCTCAGGACATAGAAGGGTCAGGTGCATAACACACTTTCATAGAAAG